CATTGAACTTCACACAGCTGGGTAATCACAATAGACAGATCTTGTATCGTTACATAAACTGAAAACACAAGTGTTAACGGCTGTATAATACTCCAACAGGTGCATATTAGGTAAGCAGCAAAAACTGCAGTCTCCAAAAGTTGATGAGACTGGTTGTCCCTGGAGAAGACTGGGGTTCAGAGGGGCAGGCAGAAGGCTTACTTTCAATGTATAATTTCACTGTAAAATTGCTTGGATTTTTTTGTTTGTTTGATTCACTTTTTTTCCACAAACACCAATGAAGTATCTCTGTTCTCTGTCCTATATGTGTATCATTCTTTCCTCACTGTTCTCCACTTTCCCATTTTCTTCTGCATTAAAAAGAAATTTAATTGTGGTAAAATTCACATAACATAAAATTAACTATCTTAACCTTTTTCGGTTCAGTTCATCTGAACCTTTGGTTTGGTTTACAGTTCAGTGGCATTAAGTGCATTCACATTGCTGTGCAAACATCACCACCACCCATCTCCAGAACTCTTTTCATTTTGCAAAACTGAAACAACTTACACATTAAACAACTCTCCCATTTCTCTCTCCCTCCACCCAGCCCTGACAATCACCTTTCTACTTTCCATCTCTAGGAATTTGACTGTACTAGGTACCTCAGATAAGTGTAATCATATAGTATTTGTCGTTTTGTGACTGGCTTATTTCACCTAGCAAAATATCCACAAGTTTCATTTGGATTTCTTTTTTTACCATTAGTATTTTATTACTTTTCCACTTAAAAAGACTAGCTAGGTGTCAAAAAAAAAATACAATATATACTCACAAAGTTAAAGAAAAAAGCAGGAATCAAAACTTTGTATAAAATTTGTCATCATAACTGTGTAAAAAAATATCACACATGTTGGAACCCAGCAGAAGACTAGATGTTTCTAGTGATGATACTGATTATTTCTAGATGGGTTATGGTTACATTTGATTTTCTGGTTTTCTGTTTTTTCCATTATTCTAGAATGAGCACGTTATATTTACAATCAGGCAAAAAGCAAATGCTGTCTAAAAAATAGGTGTGTCAACTTCGGGAAAATGCTTCATCCCAGCTGTCTCAGAATACCCTGAGTTTACTAAGTTCCTCTATCCCCGTAAATTAAATACACTTGTGGTTGTCAATCCATATGTCCCCATTTGGAGTTAGGAAAATAACATTTATGGCCAACAAGTGCATTCAACAGGTGAACGTGAGATTAAAGAACAGGAGAGTGATCAAAACGTGTTTCCTACCTGAGTCGTGGTTTGGCTCCAACAGGTCTTCTCCTGGGTGATCCTGTCAAGTTTCCCACCTGGGAGCTGTCTCATTGGGGCAAAGTGGGGCTGTCCCAGTGGTACTGGCTCAGGAGAGCCCATTGTGCATATAGGTCTCTAACTTCACAGTGATAGCTTGAAATTGGCTATCGTGGAAGTATTTATACCATGGAAATTGGCAAACACTACAAATCGCCCACCAGTGCCACCAGCCAGAGAGTCTGTGGTTGAACATTTGCCAGCACACGACTGGGTTGCTTTCATCTCTTAGGGTGGGTGAGCCATCCGCCTCTCTTCAGCCCCTGGCTGCCCATTTCTCAGGGAACTGGATGGTCATTTTCCTGATCCCTCTGTAAGCAACATTTTGGATTCTAGGGGCAGATCTGCCTTCCAAGCCCCGTGGTTCTTCGCCCCTCAGAAGCACCAAACTTCACCCTCCTGATGTGGAATCTGGAGAGGAAAGGCTGAGATTTGGTTAAAAATTGTAGACTCATTTGACAACTCTCCATTTTCCACTTTTCCCATCTCATCCTGCCAGCTTCTTCTTGGAACTTCACCTGATTTCAGGAACTTTCTTGCTATAGCATCTGCACCCCAATTCTTCCGGGCAAAAGGCAGAGGGGTGGTGGGAGAAGGTGGTGTTTGGGGAAAGGTCTAGCAGGCTTTCTCCTCCAGAGAACAAGCCAGGTTGATTTTGTTGTCCCTGTTCCTTGAGGTGCCAGCCTGTGGATCCCAGGCCCATCCAAGGGGGCACAGGTAGGATTTTGTCATTTACCTCTTAGTACTTCTGGAAACGAGGGGTTCAGAGCTGGACCTGAGGGGCCAGGCTGCTACCCCAGCTGTGTCTGGCTGCCCCGCCCTCTCTGCAGCCCCCAGGGGAATATCTCTAGGTTGAAGGCAGAAGCAGGTTGTTGCTAAGAAACCTTTCAGCATTACCTCTAGGGAGAAGCCTTGACAAGAGGAGTAGTAGGGCAGAAATAATAGGTTGCTCGGTGGCTTCAGAGAGCCAGGCTGCAGGAGCACTGGCTATGGAGTCAAGTAGGAACCCCATTCTGTTCCTCCCTCCAAGACTGATCAAGACGACACCACTTGGGACCTGGATTCAAATCCGTGCTCCCCCATTTACTTGCTATGTAAATTGGCCCCTCTGAGCAGTCTGTAAATTGGGAATGATAATGCCTACCTCTCAGGATTGTGCTGAGAATTCAATGAACTAACGTATGTAAAGCACTTAGTCCAGAGCAAGTTTTTTTCAGTTCGTGGGAGGTAAAAATGAAACAAAACAGAAACAGCCATGTGTAGCTGAGCACAGAAGTGTCTGAGCCCCCATGTTTCATCGATGATGCTGGGATTTAGGAGTCCTGACTGGCTCCGTCAGGGTGCATCTCACACCACAGGCCCCCAAGTGATGCCTTCAAGACCTCCGTTGAGTCCTTCGTACATGTCAGCTCACTTTATCTTCACAACAGTCCCATGGGGTAGATATTAGCTGTTAGGTGCAGAGAGTGAGATGAGGGCTCTGAAAAGCCCCTACCTTGCTGGGGACCCCACGGTGAACCCCCAACTCACTGGTCGCTGTTCCAGGTAAGGCATTTTCTACTGTTCAGAGTGACCTGAAACATGACTGGGGGTCAGGCAGGGCGTTTCCTAACAGCTCCTGTCTCAGGGTCGGCCACAGCCTGCACCCAAACCAGAGACGATGGGTGTTTCCTGGGCCAGCTCTGCCCCAGACCGAGTGGTCGCGGGGCCTCCTTCCAGCCCCACTTGGAGGAATGCCTGTGTCTGCCTGCCAGACCACTGCAGCCTTTGTATAAGTGACAAGATTGGAACTTTGGCAGGACTTGGAGTCGGACAGACAGGGGACCAGTCCTGCCTTTACCAGCAACCTGCTTTGCGACCTGAGCTTAACCTCGGAGGGCTGTAGGTTTCTCACACATAAAATGGAACTCAATGATTCCGTAGGTCCAAGGGTTGTAGGGAGGGCCCAAGGAGATTACCTTTCTCAAGTGGCTTTGGAAAAAAACCCTGGCAATGCGATTGTGAGGTGCTGTTATCAGTGCTGTAAAACGCTGTCCTGAAGGTGGCTGATCCTTCTGGGAGTGGAGAACTGGCCATAAAAACTGTGCATTTGACTCAGCAAATCTATCCAGAGGGCCTGCTCTGTACAATTCCCTGTGTGAGGCACCACCAGGGCCTCACACCACCAGAAAATTCCAAATTCTCAGCTGAAAACTTGCCGCTTTGTTTATGTAACAAATATATACTGGGTGGTAAGGAGGTGCCAGGATATACAGGAATATACTGGGTATACAGGAAGAGGTCCGCCTAGCAGAGACTTTCCCACAAGGTAAAAGATGAAACAGCAAAACAAAAGGCGGAGGGAAAGGAGGAAGACTGTCGGGAGCCAGCTGAAGAGTTAAAATCACTGAGCAAAAGAGAAAAAAAAGAAAGAACTGTGCAACTTCATGGCTCAGTTCATCAGGCGAAACACTTTTTTTTATTAGTTTCAAGAGGATTTCATCATGGAAGAAGTATTTCAATAAGAGGCCTTTGGGCAACAGGAGAAATGATTTTCTTAATAGCAATTTTTGTTTTTCCCCAACATTTTATGATGAGGCGACAGGGAAATTTTCAAACAGAGAAAAGGGGAAAGAATATGAACACACATACATCCACCTCCTTGAATCTACAAGTAATATTTTACTGTATTCATGGCATTTTTTTAAAGAGGAAGTTTCTGGTAGGGCTGTTTCATGTATCAGCTCTTCCTGAGGGTGTCATAACCGTGTCTTCCCGGGGACAGAAGGATGGGATGGGGGTGTGGCAGAGAGAGATTTTAGCCCGGGAATGTAGCTCTCTGGGAATCAGACTGGATGGGGGTGGGGTACTAAAAAGGGAAAACAAAAAGGCTCCGGAGAACCAAGTTCCGCTGACCCCTGGGCCCTCGGTCTGTGCGGTTTCAGCCAGTTAACAGGACAGGAGTCCCGTGGCTGCTCTTGGCTGGGAGGTCTCTGGGATCATCTTTCTCCTGCTCCAGACTTGCCTTCGTTCTGCAGAGGGTAAAAAAGGGCAGCGATGGCGGCCCTGGCGTCCGCTCTGAGCACAGGGAGACAAATGAGAATCTCTAGACGAGCTAAGCTGGGACGCCGGCGGGCCCCTGAATCCTGCAGCTTGGCAGCCGGCGCCTCCGCCTCGCGACGCTCTCCGGGGGCTGCAGCCGGGGGCTGGGGAGGGGCGGCGGGCGGGGGGTGCCGTCCTGCGGCAGCGGCGGGGCTCTGCCGGGCCCAGCTGTCCCCGCGACTCGGCTGCCGTCCCGGGCGCAGCGGGCTCGGGGAGGGACCAGCCTCCGCGCTCCTCCCCTGGGCGGCTGGACTGGGCTCGGCGCACCCGGGAGCGCGCCCTTTGCATAAAGCCCTCCCCCCGGGCCAAGGTAGAGGAAGTTGGGCTCCCGCCTGGATGGGAGGAGGCAGGGAGCCCCGCTCCTGTTGTTTTCCGCGAGCCGGAGAGGGTGGCGGTCCAGGGGGCGGGGTGCGCCCTCCCACCCCGGGCCGGGCGCTCGCAGAGACAATCGCGCCGGCGCCCAGCACAGATTCCGGCCCCGGACATCGGGCTCACCCCAAGCATCCTTCCTGGGGGCTGCGGAGAGCGGAACTCCCTGCCGCTCGGAGGACCTGCGAGGAGCCCTTAGTACCCCAGGGGCCGGGGCCCGGGGGCGCGCACCCAGCCCAGCCGGAGCCCGCGTTTCCTGAGGGACCCCTGCCCGCATCTGGGGCGAGATGGCCGCAGGCATCCGGGCGCCCGAGCCGCGGGTCCTCGTCTGCCTCGGGGCGCTGCTGGCCCGCTGGGGCGCCGCAGGTACGGGGCCGCGATCTGGAGGGGGAAGTTGAGTTTTGCCAGGCAGCAGTCGGGAGGGGACAGCCAGGGACCGAATTCCCTCCGGCTCCGCGGGATCCGGTTGTGGCCGCGGCCCCGAAACCGCCCCAGGAGGGTCTTGAGTTTCCTGCTCGCAGCTCAGCTCTCTCTGCAGGAAGGAATTTTCCCGGGCGCTTGATGGAGGGCAAGATATCCCATCCCCACTCTGTTGGAGTGGGCAGCCGGCCAGGCTGCAAAGGGCTTGCGGTGATGGGAATTTTGAAGATGGGAATTTTGAGGATGGGAAACTGAAGAGGCACGTGTAGGGGGGAAAGAGTTGTATTTTTTAAAGCGTCGGATGTAAATTCGCGATCTGGTTTTACCTGCTGAGCTGGTGCTCAAACTCGAAGAAGCTCCTTTATTTTTCTCTCCTCCCTCTGCCCAAGGTTGAACTTCCCTTACACCTGTAACCTGTGGATTTCCCTACACACCCCTGCAAGCCAACCTGTGCAGATCAGCGCCTTCAAAGCTGTGCCTTCCTCCTTCACTTTTTTTTTTTAAAAAACTTTTTATTCTGAAATAATTTCAGACCTCCAAAAACATCCCCTTACACTTGACATGACCTTATCTACTTGACATGATTAGCAAAGGTCTTAAATGCTTCATCTACATGCTGCCTTGTAACAATAAAGACTAGCTAGTTGCTTCAAATAATATATAGAATGTAAAAAGAAATATAGAATGAAAAAATATTTTTGATTTTAATTCCACAGTGAATGCATGTCTACTGAGTGCAGGGGATTGTGACAAGCAGCGAGGGGACTTGGGTGGAGGAAAGGAGATGGATCCAGGAGGCAATGTAGTTAGCCAGAATGCTTGCAGAGTGCCACTTTCTGTGTTGTCCAGCATACCCTGCTGATCTCTTCTTGTGGGTTCCTGGAGAAATTGTGCTCTGAGCTTCCTAGCAGCAAGTGCCAAAAGTTCCTAATTAATTGTTCAGCTCACACAAGTTTTTATTTTGCTTTATTTTCAGCAATCTTTTGAAAACAGTAAAATTTCCCATAATCTAAATTTTCAGTTTGTCTGGAAAAATCTGAAGATCTCGCAGCACTAGGTCTGCTTTCCTCCCTGCAACTGAGCAGTGGTCACCCCCTTTTATCTAGGACATGTGACCCCAAATTTGTTCCACCTCCCTCTGTTGTAGCACTTACTCCTGGCCCTCTTCAGTCGTGGACCTTACCTGCTGGCCCCTCCAGGCATCTGACTTAGTGGTCACTGTGCTGAGGGGAGGAGGAGAGGATGTAGTCTCCGATTGTCGGTCTCCAGAAGTTAGAGGTGATTGTTTATTCTCCTTTCCCAGCTGTCTGCGGTGTTTACTGCACTGTGAACGTCAGGGGCCTCGGGACATCAGAACGCTGGGTTGGAATCATCATACTGGAATGAACCAGCTTGTAGTTGGCTGCGGCTCACCACACAAGGACACTCCCCCACTGCCTTGCCCAGTTATTTTGATGCCCAGGCCAGGTTCACCTTTGTGTACAGTGCCCGGGGGCTTCCCTAGCTTGGTGTAATTTTGTTGTTTGTTTTGCAAGTTGGGAATTGTCTTGGGGGGAAAAATTGTCTCTCTCCTGTCACTTAATGCCAGACAACATTCATGCCCCCACTGTCACCTCAGATAGTAAATGCTGGGTTATTCTTGGGGAAAAGTTGCTAGGAAAAAACTAAATGTTTGGGTACAATCCCAACTCTGTAAATGATAATATGAGGGCGGCACTGGAAAATGGTCATTTATATTGCTACCTCCTTTGGTCCATATTCTTAATTTAAGGTTGGGGGACATTCGGGGGTCCTCTGGACACCATGTAAATGACTTTTAGAAACACAAACTGTTACTGTGTCTTATTGTCTCACTTTGTCTGGTTGGGAGAGGAAAGTGAATCCCCGTTCATTCATACTGTTTCATTCCAGTATGATGATTCCAATCCAGCATTCTGATTGAAAAGCTGAATGGCAATCCTAGCTCTCCCCATGACTTGCATAGCACCTGAAGTAAATCACTTCAGGTTTCTGAACCTCAGTTTTCTCAACTGTAAAATGAGGGAGTATAGGACCATCAGGCATGGAACTAGTGCACTCTCAAGACTACCATTTCCATGTCTGTGTCAGACATCACTAATCAATGACTGTGTTCTTCTGCACTGAGCCAGGACTCATCCTATCTCGTCTTTAACCCAGCCCACAGGGCTGCAACATCTCAAGACTACAGGATCTCTAAGGTCATCTGCAGCTTCAGCAGTTTAAAAGAATGGAGCGAGCAAAGCCAGGAGGAGAAGTGAAGTGTCGTAAAATGGTTTCTTTTGTGATTATGTCATGTTCCTCCCTGGAAGTGAAGACGATCTTAGCTCAAGTTCCAAGACTAAAGTTTCACCAGGGCTTTTCCAAGTTCCCTTATTCCTTTGCCGAGGAGCCAAGGAGGCGGGAGGCCTGCAGGTCCCTTGAACACATACTGCATCTGTAATTCTACAGTTCATCCCCTCTCCTCGGTGGGGATTGCCCCTGAGAATGTGGGTTCCCAGGCCTAGTCATTTAAAAATAATTCTCACCTGCTTTTTAAACAGGTTAAAGAAACATTTCTTGCTGTATTGGAATCTGTAGCATGAGATGACATTCTCTGCCTTCTTGCAAGTGGCTTAGATTTTTTTTTTTTTTCATCTTGTCCTGGCTTTTGGGAATGGAGAGGCCAAGATGGGGAGAATCGGAAGGTCCTGTGGCTCCAGGCTGGCTTCTCGTCTTTCAAATGGAGCCTCTTCTAACCAGAGAAAAGGCCAGATAACTGTAGCTCTTTCTTTTATAAAAGGGAAGGATGTCCAGAGACAGGGGAAGGATGTCCAGAGGCAGAAGGCAGTTTATTTTTTGATAACAACTTTACTGAGATATAATTTACATGCCATAATATTCAGTCCTTTTTTTTTTTTTTGTGAGGAGATCAGCCCTATGCTAACACCTGCCAATCCTCCTCATTTTTTGCTGAGGAAGACTGGCCCTGGGCTAACATCCATGCCCATCTTCCTCCACTTTATATAGGACGCTGCTACAGCATGGCTTGCCAAGCAATGCGTCGGTGTGCACCCGGGGTCTGAACCCGTGAACCCCAGGCCACCGCAGCGGAGCGCGCACACTTAACCGCTTGCGCCACCGGGCCGGCCCCAATATTCACTCTTTTAATGTGTACAGTTCAGGTTTTTAGTGTATTCACAAGATTGTGCAACCATCACCACTAATTAATTCCAGAACATTTTCATCACCTGAAAAAGAAGCCAGAGAGAGCAGCAGGCAAGAGGAAACACAGCCCTCTTCCTTCCACCGTTCTGGAGTTCTAGGCAAATAGAAGCACTTGGGTTCTGTATCAGTTATTTGTTCTACAATAATGCTGCGTAACAAACAATCACAAAATGACAATAAGTGCTTATTGCTCAAGGGCGTGGGGTGGTTGGCTGGTTGGCTCTGCTGACCTTGCCTGGGCTCACTCATATGTCTGGGCGTCCACCGAGTGGCTGAAGGCTGATCTAGAATGGCTTCACCTGGGATGACTGGGACAACTGGGGTCTGCACCATGTAGTTTTCGTCCTCCCCCTGGGACCTAACCTGGGCATGTCTTTCTCAAGGTGATGGCAGAAGGTGGGAGTGAGCACGCCCAATTACACAAGTGCTTTTTAAGCCTCTGCTTGCATCACATTTGCTAACATCCCCTTGGCCAAAGCAACTCACGTGGCCGAGCCCTGGGTCAGAGTGGGGGCCACTGTAGAGTGACCCAGTGAAGGGCATAGACAGTGGGGGAGCGTGTTGGGGCTATGTTTGTTATTGTGGTCTAACACAAGTTCATTAACATCAAAATTGGCCAAGATTCCCGACAGGGTGGAGGCTCTGCATCTTACAGACAGACTCCTGACTTTTTCTTTTAATTCTAATGCGGAGGGACTGTGCAAAAAGGAGGTTGTTCAGAGATCAATGAAGGTAGTAACAGCCTGATCTTTCCTTGTACAGGACTGGAGGCTGTTGTCATTGGAGAAGTTCATGAGAACATTACTCTGCACTGTGGCAACATCTCAGGACCGAGGGGCCTAGTGACCTGGTACCGGAATGACTCGGAGCCTGTCTTCCTCCTGTCCTCCAATTCCAGCCTCCTGCCAGCCGAGCCGCGCTTCTCTCTGGCAAATGCCAGCTCCCTGCACATCGAGGCGCTGAGCCTGCTGGACGAGGGGAACTACACCTGCCGGGAGGACCTGAACGAGACTCGGTGGTTCCAAGTGTGGCTGCAGGTGGCCAGTAAGTGGGATGGGAGGGGACCGGGGCCAGCTGGCGAGGTGCTCACAGCCTGGGACAGGAGGAGGGCTTTGGAATGAATGGCTTGGGCTTCAGTCCAGGCTCTGCCTCCTGCAAGCAGAGTGAACTCTTGCACCTATATTTCCTCATCTGCAAAATGGGGATGAAAGAATTCTTGCCTGATAGAATTGCTGTAAGGAATAGATAGATACCAGTTTGTCTATGTAAAGTGCTGTAAACAGTTCCCGGAATATTAGTTAGTGATTACTTTCAGCTTGTTGTTAATATCATTTTATTATGCAACAAAGTCAGAGTATAGCATAATCGAGTCAGACTGCCTGAGTTCCGCTCCTGTGGCTGTCACTTAATTCTGTGTTATGTTGAGTAAAAGCTTAATATCTCTGACCTTCAGTTTTTCTTATTTGTTAATTTGGGGATAATACATTGCGTACTGTATCAGGTATGTGCTCTTATGCTATAGTGCTTAGTACAGGGCTTGGCATGAGCTACTGTTACTACGATGCTTTCCAAAAACGGTCTATCATGTCTGTCGATAGACATGCATAAATTTAGAGCAGAGGTTGGTAAACTACGGCCTCTGGGCCATATCCAGCCTGCTGCCTATTTTTGTATGACCTGTAAGCTACAGATATTCTTTTACCTTTTTAAACTGTTGAAAAAAAATCAAAAGAAGAATAAGATTTGTGACATGTGAAAATTATATGAAATTCAAATTCAGTGTCCATAAATAAGGTTTTATTGGAACACAGCCATACTCCGCTTTACATATTATCTCTGACTGCCTTTGGCGGAGTTGAGTGGCTGTGACATAGATTGTATGGCCTACAAAGCCTAAAATACTCTCTGGCCTTTTACAGAAAAAGTGTGCTGGTCACTGGTTTAGAGGGACATCTGTGTTCTACATCCAGGGTATGTAGTTTTGTAGAAATACCCATGTGATCATTTTACTGCTCCCTAGTTTCCTCATCTGTAAAATAAAGAATTGACTCATTTTATTCAACATATATTTTTTGAGAGCCTGATGCCAGGCACTGTTCTAGGCATTGGACCACAGGCGTGAACAGGATAGAAAAGTTCCCTGTGTGCAAGGAGCTGACATCTTGGAGGGAGAAGACAGACAGTAAACCAGTGAACAAATGCATCAGGCAATATCAGAGTGACAACGCTGTGCAGAGAATTGAGATGGGGTGATGTGATTCTCTGAAACGCTTTAAATGGGGGGGTCAGAGAGGAGCTTTTGGGGGGTGTGACATTTAAGCTGAATGATAAGTAGGAGCCAGTTGTGCAAAGATAAGAGAGAGAGCAATCCAGGCAGAACTACAACCAGTGCAAGATGGGTTGAGCATGGTGTGTGTGCAGATGGGGAGAAGGCTGGTGTGGTGGGAGCCCAGTGTGTGAGAGGGCAGGACGTGAGAGAGAGGGGAGGCAGGGCCATAGTGTGTGGGGCCGAGTAAGCCTGGTGTTATGGTTGACTTATGTCCCCCCAAAAGATATACTGAAGTCCTAACTCCTGGTACATTTGAATGTGACCTTATTTGGAAATAGGGTCTTTGCAGATGTAATCAAGTTAAGATGAGGTCACTAGGGTGGGCCCTAATCCAAACTGACAGGCATCCTCATAGAAGAGGAAAATGCATGTGAATACAGAGACATACAGGGAGAAGGTGATATAATGACAGAGGCAGAGATTGGAGTGATGCAGCTGCAAGCCAAGGAATGCTGAAGACCGATGGCCAACACCAGAAACTAGGGAAGAGGCAAGGAACGATTCTCTCCTGGAGCCTTTCAAAGGAGTACGGCTCTCCTGAAACCTTGATCTCTGGCCTCCAGAACTGTGAGAGAATCAATTGCTGTTGTTTTAGCTGTCTAGGTTGTGGTATTTTGTTAAGGCAGCCCCAGAAAACTAACACACCTGGTAAAGAATTGGGATTTTTTTTTATTCTGGGTGCTGGGGAAACTCTTGAAGCTTTAAGCAGGTGTGTGGATTATTTGAATTACACATGAAGAATGTATGTGTGTGGTTTCCAGAAGCAGTGATAAAATGAAAACAGGAAAGCCAGTTGGAGGTACAAGATGTTGGTGGCCAGAACCAGGGTGGCAGCAGTGGCCCTGGTGAACATGAACAGGTTCAGAAAATATTTTGGAGGTAGACCAGAAAGACTTGCTTGTGGATTAGAAGTGGAGAATGAAGGAAAGAGGGGCTTCAAGGACACTTCTAGATATTTGGATGGTCTCTAAGGTTTCCGCCAACTCTCAAGGCTTATGGAATTTGTGAGTGCAGTGTTTTTGCATCTGGAGATGCCATGGATGAATTGCTGAATGGCCAGGAATGAATGTGGGTGTATCAAAAAATGTCACCCATTTTGGCCCAGATCTGTTTGGTTCCCGCTGTGAGCCTAGGGGTAAGTGCCAGCAAGCCTCCCTCACTCCAGCTGCCAAACTGTAATTAATAATTCCTTCATGTTAGTCTCGTCAATAAATACCTTCTCTTTTGACCACAGAGGGTATGGTGGCATTACAACATTTTGGTTTTTTTATCATCGCTCTCTCCAATTTATGACGACTTTATCCGACAGTGAGTTATTAATCATTGCCTAAGTTTATTAGAGGATCAATTAGTTTCATTATTGCCCTGTAGGGAGATAAATGCAAGGTCTTTCTATGATGAAAATGAACTTACATGTTAAAAAATATCACTAAACTGAAATGGCGCTTTGGGCTCCTTGAGTTACTATTGGCTTGATTCGTATTAAGAAAACTTCTTTATTTGGAAACACAAGAGGTCCCTGACTGGTGTAGGGCTTGTTTGAAAACAGAACACAGACCATCTTAGTTCGGGCTGCTATAACAAAAATAAGATAGACTGGGTGGCTTAAACAACAAACATTTATTTCTCGCAGCTCTAGAGGCTGGGAAGTCCAAGATTAAGGTGCCGGCAGATCCAGTGTCTAGTGAGGCCCCTTCCTGGTTTGCAGATGAGTCTTCTCGTTGTATCCTCACATGGTGAAAGCAGAGAGAGGCAGCAAGCTTTCTGGGGTCTCTCCTTATAAGGGCACTAATCCCATTCCTGAGGACTCTACTCTCATGACTTAATCACCTCCCCAAGGCCCCACCTCCAAATACCATCACACTGGGGATAGGCTTCAGCATATGAAATTGGGGGGGACACAGACGTTCAGTCCATAGCACAGACATCCTGTGGTTTCACATACACCAGAGTCCTTTAGAATCTCAGGCCTTGTTCCCATTCCAGGAGAACCCTGGGCAAACACCAGACCCCTCCCGGCGTCAGAGAGCCCCTTCCTGCTCCTCAGACAGTGGCCAAAGGGGAGGCCTTGGCATCTCAGATTGCAACTTGGCCCTCATTTCTGCATAGAAGATTTGGTTACTATAACTTTGTGGTATATTTTGAATTCAGGGAATATGATACCTCCAGCTTTATTCTTTTGTCTCAGGATTGCTTTGGCTATTTGGGGTCTTTTGTTTTTCCATATAAATTTTAGGTTTCTTTGTTCTGTTTCTGTGAAGAGTGTCGTTGGGATTCTGACTGGGATTGCATTGAATCTGTAAATTGCTTTAGGTAATATGGACATTTTAGCTATGTTTATTCTTCTAATCCCTGAGCATGGAATATCTTTCCATTTCTTTATGTCTCCTTCAATTTCTTTCAATAATATCTTATAGTTTTCAGCATGGAAGATTTGGGAATATGGATTAGGCTCGATCCAACCACTATTTCTGGGAGGGTGGTAATATTGCTGAGTGGCTGAGGGCATACACTCTGAAGTCCAGCTGCCTGGATTCAAATCCAGTTCTGCTGGCTGTTGTCCTTGTGACCTTGGGGAAGTCACTTGAATTCCTCTAACCTTGGTTTTATCATCTGTGAAATCAGGGGTAATGGTGGAACCTCGGCACAGATTCACTGAACACATTCATGAGATAAACATGCACAGCGCTCAGCACAGAGCTAGGCATACAGTATGCACTTGGTCCATGTACCTCGATCAACTGGTTCAGCAGGTGATGGATGCCTGTGGGACAAAGGCATCTCAAATTCTCAGCAGTCGGTTAGCATCTGGGCCTTTTGAACAGGACTTGCTGTGGGTCAGGGACTCTGTGTGCCTAGATCCTGCTTCTCCTATCTTTTCACTGACGTGGTTGATAACTTAGTTTCTTAAGGAGAAAAGTTTGGAAACATTCTAACATGGCCTTGGAAGCTAGGAATAAATTCCGATATGTGACAAGTTATTATTTGTGAGTGACTTTGAATGTGGGAACAGACGGAGTGCTATAGAAACACAAAGTGGGTTATGTGAGGGCTGGTAGCTTCTCCCTCCTTACCTCTTGGATCTCCGCTTGTTGATCTGTGGGCATTTGGTGCCTCTGCCTTCTAGGGAGTCAGGTTTTCTATAGGCCTGCGGTGATTCAACCTGCTCTGAATGGGCACCGCAATGTGATTGTGATTTGTCTCAGGACAAAACATTCTGCACTGTTACTTGTTAATTTAATGGTGTGGTTGAAGAGTCTTGTCATTAGGACTGGGGCTGCTTCTCCTGAGAGTACAGAAATCCCCTAGTCTAGAGCAGTTCAGGGCTGCCGTGGCTGTTTATTTCACTGACTTACCCCACCCTCTCCTGTCTCCAAATTGGGGTGGGTAGGAGGTTAGAACTGTGTGTTTACCTGCAAAAAAGCTGGAGGGATGGTGAAGGTAGCACAGACCTTAACACATTCCAGTAGACTTTGTGCTTCTTTCAAGATATCTCTTAATGCATTGAGGAGCTAAGTGATCACACTCGAGATTAGCCCATGAAAGACCACAGTCAGATTTCACAGAACATAGTTCCAGACTCTCCCTGTGTCTATTTTTCTCAGGCCAAGCAAGTGTCAAGGGAGCTTTGGAGCTGGTTGACACATGGGTAATGAGGAAGCTGGTTTATATCAACCTCCAGGAGCCCCTTTGGATTCAGCTGGGGCTTGGGGGATGGGGAGTACTCCTGTCTGGCCAGTGATGTGGCTGCCATTCCAGACTTTCAGGAAAGGGAGTTTCAGGAAAGTCCCATGTTCCTTAACTAATTGGGCCCATCGGATTTGCACTTGTTCTTTGTTGGCGATGGTGACACTGTTACCTCATCTCAACATAAGGTCCTAGAGAAAGGGACTGTTGGACACACTGAAGAAAGATTATTGGCCCCCATCAGAAGATGGATAATCCTTGCCCAGAGATTAAGTCTTGCCAAGCTCATCTGAAGCAGAGATGGTTACTTATAAGAGGCTGAAGACCTTTGGGTTCCGGTTCTTTGGACGGGATGGGCAGTCACTAAGGAGATCAGGAGGCAATGGGGTTGTCACATTTGCTTCGATGTTTAGTCTCTAAAAGTGGTATCAAAACAGTCTCTGTAAGTTTTCCCCAGGATCTTATCCCACTGTAGAACTATAGGTATGCCCATTAATTAGCAGACACTACTCAGTTATTCTTAGGTCATTTTCAAATAAAAATACTGGTATGAAGAGTAAATACCTGAAGATAACTTTCCTATTGGCGAGGAACCCAAGACAATGAGATGGGAATCTCTATTTTGTGGGTCCCTGAGATGTAAATTAACCCTTTGAGACGCTTGACTGGCCAGCCTATAGTTATGACGGGGAAGGAAGGAAGTGAGTTCCTATGTCAAGAATGACGTCAGAGAAGAGGAAGACAGCTGTAGTAGATTGTTCTAGAACAGGAATCAAACTTTTCCTGTAGAGGGCCAGATGGTAAATATTTCAGACTTTATGGGCCAATGGATAAAATCGAGGATATTATGTAAGTACTTACATAACAAGAGAGAAAACAAATTTCTATATAATTTTTATTGACAAAATTCAAAATATAATAAGAATTGAGTACGTTTTTGTAGTTCAGCGTAGCGAGAAGAATGGAATTCACTTTTAGGGGGATAACATTTCACTTAATTGAGGTTCAAAGTTAGTGCTCTCTCTCATCAAATTGATTGCAAATGTTCATCTGTAAAAACCATTCTTAGCTCGTGGGCTGTACAGAAACAGATGGTGGATCATCATTTGCTGATGCCTGTTATTGACTCAATCTGCAAGTATACTACTGATAGTAATATCAGATAAGATTTATAGAACATTGACCACATGTCAAACAGCAGGCCAGTGTTCTGCTTTTATCTTCTCATTGGATCCTCCAGTAATGCAGTGATAGAAGTTATTACTGTTCTTTTCATTTCATAGGAAGGACAGGAAAGTGAGAATGAAAGGGATGGGCACTTGCCCAAGGTTGTCCGTCTTTAAATGGCAGCAGGATTTACACCCAGGTCTGTCTGAATTCAGAGTACAAGCGCATAGCCACTAGGCTAAGGCATGGTCTAAGAAAGAGTCGAGAACTAAAACTGACAATGACCAAGGCCTCAATAAGATGTGGTACCTTTGTAACCACTCTATATTTTTATTTATTTTCTGTTTTATTTTTGTTTCCTCCCCCATCTGTCTGTCTCTCGGACTGATTGCTACCATGATCCTGCAAGCAGAAAGGGCTGGTGGTTTCTGTTTGGGAATATTGAGGGGGTGGAGAGAGAGGGGGGAGGGAAGGAAATGGGTGCCTCCTCCTTTGTAGTAAGTCAGAGTAGGGGAGGAACCCCGAGGAATCCAGAAGATGTGTCGGCTTTCTTAATTAAGAAAGCAGACTCAACCCAAGGAGTTTATAGCTGAGCTGTAACCTTTGAACACTTAACTCAGGAGGCCCTTCGGGTGCTATCGTTTGATTTTTTTTTTAACTTTTCTACCTGCTTCCTTCTCATCCATTCCCTGTATCCAACTCCATTTCTTGCTAAGAATTGTGCTGGTGAAAAGCCCCTCCCAGCCAGTTTCGGGGGGTCTCCACTGTCCATGCCAGGCCACTGTGGCCCTGCAGACCACAATCTGGAAGAGCCAGGCTGTCCAATGTAACACACTACCTTTGCCGGCCTGGGTGTTGGCTCTCAGTACCGCAGAGGTACCTGGTGTTTAGCTGGGTGGCTGCCAACTGTGGGCACGCCCAAGGACCTGCTGCTCCACACACCTACCCAGCTAGCCAGCAACAGTGAATAGGACATTGGAGCACCTCCCAAATCACAGTCTAATTTTTTCTGCAGACCCTCTGTGGGAGGTGACATGATTGCGGCAGATCACTGCAACTATTAGGAGCCAGCCCCAACTTGACAAGCATATTGTCAAGAATAGTGTCCTCAGAAACCCACAATTTCTATAGTCATACAATGGCGCCAGACATAGATGAAGTAGATGCTGTACTTTGTGGGGATCTGAGAAAGTCTTTTCCTTTCCCAAATAATTTTCCCCACTGGCCTATTTCTGTTCAAAATTCTATAATCATGGATTTATTCCTTTGGCCAAGTGTTGCCCTCCTGGCTTCTTTTTAAAAGAGGACATCTCTGGGAGGGGTAACACACTAAATGACTTTAGTATGTACAGGTGCTAGATATACTTTTCATCAAAAGGGATGTGGCATCTTGGGTGCATGTGTACCAAAAATGGGAAGGCATTTCTGGGGACATGAAGAAGTTCAGAAATGTGAGGGGAACCAAGATAAGAACTAGCTTTGATCAACTGCTTCCAACGTGCCAGGCACTGTTCTGAGTGCTCTACTGTAGTAACTCTTAATTATCACCACAACCCCCTGCAGTGGGTTCTAGCATCACCCCCATTTTACAGATGTGGAAATGGAGGCTAAGAGGGGTTAAGTAATTTGCGCAAAGTCACACAGCTAGTAAGTGGAGTCCAGACTTGGAACTGGAACCAATGTTTCTGGTCTTTCAGTGTGAAATTGTGCTGGGGGTCCCCAAGACCACCCCTAGTTTTAGTGGTTCTCCAGGAGAATTCACAGGATTCAGCATGTAATGTGATGTCTTACAGCTAAAGGATACAAACAAAATCAGCAAAGAGAAAAGGCACATGGGGTTAGGTCCAGGGACAACCAGGAGTCAGCTTCCAAGGGTCCTTTCCCAGGGGAGTCACATGGGACACGCCTAATTCCTGCAGCAACAAGTTGTGGCAACACGTGTGAGATGCTGTCTACCAGGGAAGCTCTTTAGAGGCTAAGCTCCCTGGGTGTTTACTGGGGGCTAGGCACGTAGGCATCCTCTGCCCGGCACATACCAAAATTCCGGACTCGCAGAAGGAAAGCAGGTGTTGTTCAGCATAAACCACGCTGTTTCTACAAACAGTTTAGGCACAGTGAGTCCCACTCTTATCAGTTCTGGGAATGGTGAGAACTCTCCCGAAATCCAAGTTCCCAGCTGCCGGCCAAGGCCAGCCTTGCAAGCAGGCCTTTCTAAGGACAGCAGACTCAGGCCTGCTGTGTCAACTCTTTCGTGCACAGATATCCTTTCCACTCACCAGAGTTTTGAAGAGGAGCTATTTGCATTTTCCCTTTTCTGTAAGGATGGGTTCCCCGATAAATCTCACATAATCACTCAGCATTAAATAAGGGCACTTAGCATAGCCTTTGTCACATAGTAAGTATCTGATAGATATTGTCGTCCTCATTAGCTGCTTCCTGGTCATTTGCGTGTCTATTAGAGCTGGTAAGGAGCTCAGATTAACTCTCAAGCCTTCCCCATTCCCCCTGTCATTCCCAGGCGGCCCCTATGAGGTTGAAGTCACTATTTCCAGCACCGGCACGCTCCCCAATGGCACCCTCTATGCAGCCCAGGGCTCCCAGGTGGATTTCAGCTGCAGTAGCAGCTCCTGGCCTTCACCGATGGTTGAGTGGTGGTTCCAGGCCCCGGATTCGAGGAGCGAGCCCTTTGGAAACAACCTGACGGTCAGCTGTTTCGCTCTGCTACTGATGTCCACAAACCTCCAAGGGAACTACACCTGTTCGGCCATGAACATGCTCAGTGGAAGGCATCGAAAGGTGACCACTGAGCTCCTTGTCTACTGTGCGTAAGAAGCGCTCCCCTCCCCCACTTCCTCACCTTGACCCTTTGTCAACTGCATGTTTGTGCCTCTTCCTTTTGTGTACAAAGGTGTGCCCGCTGCACAGGTCCTAACCTGCTTCAGCACACATGTACACATCCAGGGGCTGCATGTCCGAGAGGGACTTACCTCTTCCAGAAGCTTGCTGCTAAGTAGGGGTACAGGAGAGTCCCTGTGAGCCACAGAGGGAAATGAATGCCTAGCTTAATGCTTTCTTTTTTTTTTTTTAATTGAGGTGAAAGTACAAACATAACATTAACCATTTTAAAACGTACAACTCAGTGGCATTTAGTACATTCACAATGTTGCGCAACCATCACCTTTATCTAGTTCCAAAACATTTTCATCACCCCAAATGGAAATCCCATATCCATTAAGCAGTCACTCCCATCCCCTCTCCCCCCTCAGCCTCTGGCAACCACCAATCTGTGTTCTATGTCCATGCATTTGCCTATTATGGACATTTCATGTAAATGGAATCATACACTATGTGGCCTTTTGTGTCTGGCTTCTTTCACTTAGCATCATGTTTTCAAAAGGTTCATCCATGTTCTAGCATGTGTCAGTACTTCATTCCTTTTTATGGTTGAATAATATTCTGTTATATGGATAGACCACAATTTGTTTATTCATTCATTTATCCCCATACATTCTATTCATGAACGCTGGGCCCTCTAGCACTGTTAGGAATCAGCAGTTCATGAACCTTTATTCTGGGGGTGAAGAAATAACTAATGCACCTGTACACAAATTTTCCAAACAAAAATAACTATAGACACACAGAGCATACTCATAAGCCATGCTAACCAAACGGAACATCAGAACAACAAATTAGTGGGCAGGATAATGACACATTATTTAATTCATATGTTATCCAGGACTTTTATTAAGTCTCTATATTCTCTGTCATAAATGACATTTATTGTATATAAAGTCATAAGTGTTTGTTGTAGGAAATATAAGTGAATACAGTCATGCACCGCATAGCGACGTTTCAGTTAAAGACGGACCCCATATACGATGCTGGTCCCATAAGATTAGTACCGTATAGCTTAGGTGTGTAGTAGACTATACCATCTAGGTTTGTGTAAGTACAATCTACAATGTTTGCACAACGACGAAGTTGCCTAACAACACATTTCTCAGAACATATCCTCATCGTTAAGTGATGCATGACTGTATAAAGAAGAGAATCACTTGTACTCTAACCATTATTTTGGTATATTTCCAGTAATTTTTCTTGTAGATGCCACACATCTATCCATCCATATAAGATCCAAATTTATTTCTATTTAGGTATATTATATAAAATATATGATACTATACATACATAATATATATACATAATATAATATACATATATATGAATTTTTATATAGTTATTAATACCTGTATTACATTGGATTTACAGGTTTGTAACTTGTTAAATTTTTATGTGTGTTTTTAATAATACATGCACATAAAAAAAGGAAGTATATGTTGGGGGTCGGGGTGAATAAGTCCCCCTCCCACCTGTAACTCCCTGTTGGGGTCAGCACTGTCCAGAATTTTCCATGATGATGGAAATGTTCTGTTCTTTGTGATCTGATACAGTAACCACCCACCATGTGTGGTTACTGAGCACTTGAGATGTGGGTAGTGTGATGGAAGAACTAAATTTGTAATTTAATTTAAATTTAAATAGCCACATGTGGCTAGTGAGAAATGCAAAGATAAATGAGGCCTACATCCTCCTTGGAGATTTAATACCCAGCAGAGGAAACCTGACTATTGTCAGGCACTAATTTGTGCTAGGAGCTATTTCAAGGTACACGAACTGGGGTGGATGTTTCTCTGATACCCTGGTTCTATAATCCTTAGAGCCAGCCTAGTGGCTCATCTTAGAGTCTGTGATTAAGCCCACGTGCTCTGGTGTTTTGCAGACCCCCCTCCATCAGCCCCTCAGTGCTGGGCAGAGATGTCACCAGGATCATTCAAGCTGCAGCTCACCTGTCGCTGGGATGGGGGATACCCAGACCCAGACTTTCTGTGGACAGAAGAGCCAGGAGGTGTGGTCGTGGGGTCGTCAAAGCTGGGGGTGGAGATGCTGAACCAGTCCCAACTGTCGGATGGCAAGAAGTTCAAGTGTGTTGGGAGCCACATAGTGGGGCCAGAGTCAGGAGCCAGCTGTATGGTACAGATCAGTGAGTCTGGCTTGCCTTGTCCTGGGGTTGGGGTCTACCCACCTTCCTTTCTTCTGGGAGAACCATTTAAAAGAAGCTCTGGGAAAGAAATCTCAGGGTGTCAGAATGAACTGAATTCCTTCCATTTCTTCCTTATTTATTTTTTTTTGTGAGGAAAATCAGCCCTGAGCTAACATCCATGCTAATCCTCGTCTTTTTGCTGAGGAAGACTGGCTCTGAGCTAACATCTATTGCCAATCCTCCTCCTTTTTTTTCCCCAAAGCCCCAGTAGATAGTTGTATGTCATAGTTGCACATCCTTCTAGTTGCTGTATGTGGGACGCCGCCTCAGCATGGCCGGAGAAGCGGTGCGTCAGTGCGTGCCCGGGATCCGAACCCGGGCCACCAGTAGCGGAGCGTGCGCACTTAACCGCTAAACCATGGGGCAGGCCCCCATTTCTTCCTTTCTTTTGCTTTATGTTTCCTTCCTTTCAAACTTTAAAGATGTTTAACCAAGCTTCTTGGTCCTAGTCCAAGTTGTTTTTCACTTGTCAAATACTAACTAAGCACCTGCTATGTGCCAGGTACAGTTTCTAGGTGCTGGAGATGGAGCAGTAAACAAGACGGACAAGGTTCATTTATTAGTTATCTCCTGTTATGTAACAAAGTACCCCCAAACTTAATGGCTTAAAACAACAAATCATTTATTATCTCACTGTTTCTGTGGGCCAGAAATGCAGACAGGCATAGTGGGGATGGTTTCTCTCAGCTCCATGATGCCTGGGTCTCAGCTGAAAGCAGAGGGCTGAAATCATCTGAAGGATCACTTCCAAGGATCACACATCGGGCAAGTTGCTTCCTCACCATGCGGGCCTCTCCACGGGCTGCTTGAGTGTCCTCACAACATGCGGCTGGCTTCCCCCAGAGCAAGTGATGCAAGAGGGTGTGAGTCAGGCAGATGCTTTCCTTTTTATGACCCAGCCTCAGAAGTCACATGGCATCCCTTCTGCCACGTTCTGTTCATTGGAAGTGAGTCACTAAGTCTGGCTCCACTTTCAAAGGGAGTGGGGAGTATTAGGCTCCATTTTTTGAAAGAAGTGTCATAGAATTTTCTAGATGTATTTTTAAAACCACAACCATTCCTCTTTCACAGAACTTAAATTCTTGTGGGTGGAGTGGAGGTGGGAGGAGGACAGAAAATACAAAACAAGTAAGATAGGTTCAGATATGGGCCAGCACTCGTAGCCTAGTGATTAAGTTTGGCACACTCCACTTCGGCGACCTGGGTTCAGTTCCTGGGTGCAGACCTACACCATTTGTCTGTTAGCGGCCATGCTGTGGTGGCAGCTCACATTAAAAAAAAAGGAAAAAAAGAGGAATATTGGCAATGGATGTTAGCTCAGGGCAAATCTTCCTCAGCAAGAAAAAATAATAATAGGTTCAGATAGTGATAACAATTATGAGGAGAATAAAATGAAGTGTATAAAAGAGAATCTCTTATAGGAAGAGGGCTACTCTTCCTAGGGTGGCAGGAAGTTCTCCTTGCAGTGGTAATATTTTGAGCTGAGACGTAAAGGATGGGAAGGAGCTGGCCAGGTGAAGATCTGTGGGTGAGTATTCCTAGCAGAGGGGGCAGCAAAAGCAAAGGCCCTGGGGTGGAAACATACTTGGCCTTTGAGGAACTGAGAGAAGGCCAGTGTAGCCAGAGTGTCGTACGTGAGATACTGAAAGGCTAGGTGGGTATTGTGGGTTGAATTGTGTCCTGCAAAAAGATATGTTCAAGTGCTAACCCCGAGCACCTGTGGATGTGACCATATTTGGAATACGAGTCTTTGCAGATATGATTAAGGTAAGATGAGGTCATATTGGATTAGGGTGGGCCCTATTCCAGTGACTGGTATCCTTATAGGAAGAGGGAAATTTGGACACAGACACACAGGGGAATGCCATGTGATGACAGACGCAGAGACTGGAGTGGTGCATCTAGAAGCTCAGGAATGCCAATGATGGTTGGCAACCACCAGAAGCTAAGAGAGAGGCATGGGCTGGTGTTTCTCTCAAAGCCTCCTGACACCTTGGTTTCAGACTTCTGACTTTCTGAACTGTGAGAGAATAAATTTCTCTCGTTTTAAGCCACCCAGTTTGTGGTACTTTTGTTACAACAGCCCCAGGAAATGAATACAGCGGGTAAGCAAGGGCCAGAACTTGTTGAGTTTTGTTGGCCATGGTGAGTTTCCTCTCAGTGTATGAGGAGAACCCTCAGAGGTGCGGCCGTGGAGGGCTGACATGCTGAGAGTTGAGCGCTGCTATGCCAGGAGCAGCTTGTTTTCCCAGGCAAGCGACGTGTAACTAGTTGACCCTTCTCACTGACTCATTCAGCAGACATGTCCCGAGTGTCTTTCTGTGTCAGGTACTGTATCTGGCCTCAGCAACAGAAGGGACCAAGGCTCTCTAGGCTAGAACACGGTTGGCAAACTGTGGCCCATGGGCCCTATCTGGCCCAACAGTTTTTTTGCAGTTTTTAAAAATGAGATATAATTCACATAACATAAACTTCACTACTTCAAAGTTTATAAATCAGTGTTTTTGTTGTTGTTGTTGTTTGTGAGGAAGATCAGCCCTGAGCTTACATCCATGCCTGTCCTCCTCTTTTTGCTGAGGAAGACTGGCTCTGGGCTAACATCTGTGCCCATCTTCCTCTACTTTATATGGGACGCCGCCACAGCATGGCCTGACAAGCGGTGCGTTGGTGCGCGCCCAGGAGCCAAACCCGGGCAGCCAGCATCGGAGCGCGCGCACTTAACTGCTACGCCACGGGGCCGGCCCTGTAAATCAGTGTTTTGTAGTATATTCACGATGTTATATTACTATCACCACTATCTAATTCCAGAACATTTCCATCACCCTAAAAAGAAACCCTATACCCACTTGCAATAACTCCCTCTAGAAAAACTGTGAGAGTACTCATTTCCTAGTATTTTCCACTAACGTTGAGTGTCATTTCCACTGACATTGAGTATTACAATTAATTTTTTAGACTTTTCCTATTCATTTGTTAAGACATGGCATAACTGATTTAATTTGGGTTTCTTTGATCACTAGCAGGTTGATAATTTTCATATGCATGTTGGCTCCCTATATATCATCTGTGAATTATCTGTTCTTACCTTGTCCATTTTTCTGTTGGGTTGTTCCTCTTTTCTTATTATTCCGTAAGAGTACTTCATATTAAGTTTGTCAGTTAATTTCATAGAAATGTCATGCATGTTATAGATATATTTCTGGCATGTTTTGCTCCTAAGCTACATTTGTGGCATTTCTGGTAGTGATGAACAATTTCTGATTTTGAAGGGGTCATCTCTGTCACTCTTGTTCTTTTAGGTTTCTGAGCTCAGAAGGTCTTTTCCTGTTTCCTGATTATGAACGTGTTATTTGTTTTTTTTTATAATTTTTTTTTTTTTTTTGATTGATTGATTTTTCCCCCAAAGCCCGAGTAGATAGTTGTATGTCATAGCTGCACATCCTTCTAGTTGCTGCATGTGGGATGTGGCCTCAGCATGGCCGGAGAAGTGGTGCGTCGGTGCACGCCCAGGATCTGAACCCCGGGCCGCCAGCAGCAGAGCTGGCGCACTTAACCACTAAGCCACGGGGCCGGCCCTGAACGTGTTATTTGTAATCCTCACAATAGCCTGCAAATTAGACAGGATGATTCGTTAAGTTGCAGATGATGGCATTTTGTGAACTAACTTGCCCAGGATCACCCAGCTTGTAAGTGACTGAGCCCGCACTTAGCCCAGGTTGGTGACTCCAGACCCCTTGCCTCCCTCGGGACCTTCCACACCTGATCCAGCAAATCTTTTTGTGTAGGAGTTAGGTACTCAGCACGGTGCCAGCTACCGTAGGGGAACACAGAATCCTTGCTTTTAGAGGACTTAAAATGGAGAGAGACGTCTGACAAATGTGAAACAGGGAAATGGCAATATCACAATAATAGTGACATTAACTTTCATTAAGTGCCAACTGTGTGCATGGTGCTATGCTAAGTAGCTCCTAAGTAAGATACTGTTCTCCACACAGTATCTTATTTAGTCCTCACAATCATCCCTTATATAAGCTGAGTGCTCATATTTTTATTTATTTATAAAAGCACTTTATTGATATATGATAGACATTTAAAAGCTGTATATTTTTATATATACCACTTAATGGATTTGAAGATTATACATCTATGAAACCCTCACCCCAGTCTATGTCAGAAACATATCTATCACCTCCAAAAGTTTCCTCCCACTTTTTTTTATTATTATATATATTTTTTTGAGATAAGAACACAACATAAGATCTACTCTCTTAGCAAATTTTTATTTTATTGAGGTCACATTGGTTTATAACATTATATAAATTTCAGATGTACATCATCATATTTTGACTTCTGTATAGACTGCATCACGTTCACCACCAAAAGTCTAGTTTTCATCTGTCACCGTACATATGTGCCCTTTTACCCCTTTTTCCCTCCCCCCACCCCCTTCTCCTCTGGTAACCACCAGTCTGTTCTCTGTATCTATGTGTCTGTTTGTTTATCTTCCACATGTGAGTGAAGTCATATGGTATTTGTCTTTCTCCGTCTGACTTATTTTGTTTAGCCATAATATCCTCAAGGTCCATCCATATTATCACAAATGGCACAATTTTCTTTTTTCATGGCTGAGTAGTATTCCAGCATATCTATATATCACATCTTCTTTATCCATACATCCATCGATGGGCACTTAGGTTGCTTCCAAGTCTTGGCTATTGTGAATAATGCTACAGTGAACATAGGGGTCCATGTATCTTTTTGAGATACTGTTTTCATGTTCTTTGGATAAATACCCAGCAGTGGAATAGTTGGATCATATAGTATTTCTATTTGTAATTTTTCGAGACATCTCCATACTGTTTTCCATAGTGGCTGCACCTATTTACATTCTCACCAGCAGTGTGTGAAGGTTCTCCTTTCCTCCACATCCTCTCTAACACTTGTTATTTCTTATCTTTTTAATAATAGCCATTCTGATGGGTGTGAGGTGGTATCTCATTGTATTTTGATTTGCATTTCCCTAATAGTGATGTTGAACATCTTTTCATGTGCCTATGGGCCATCTGTATATCTTCTTTGGAAAAATGTCTATTCATATCCTCTGTCCATTTTTTTTTTTTTTATAATTTTATTTATTTATTTATTTTTCCCCCAAAGCCCCAGTAGATAGCTGTATGTCATAGTTGCACATTCTTCTAGTTGCTGTATGTGGTACGCGGCCTCAGCATGGCCAGAGAAGCAGTGCGTCAGTGCGCCCGGGATCCGAACCCGGGCCGCCAGCATCAGAGCGCACGCACTTAACCGCCAAGCCACGGGGCCGGCCCACCTCTGTCCACTTTTTGATCGGGTGGTTCATTTTTGTTGTTGTCGAGTTGTATGAGTTCTTCATATATTTTGGATGTTAACCCCTTATCAGATATATGATTTGCAAACATTTTCTCCCAATTGATGGGTTATCTTTTCGTTTTGTTTTTGTTTCTTGCCTCTTACAGCTTCTGGTGGCTCTAGGCATTCCTTAGCTTGTGGCCGCATCACTCCCATCTCTGCCTCCGTCATCACATGGTCTCCTCTGTGTGTGTCTCTGTGTGTCTTCTTATAAGACACCAGTCATTGGATTTAGGGCCCACCCTAAATCCAGGATGATTTCTTCTTGAGATCCTTAACAAATTACATCTGCATAGACCCTATTACCAAATAAGATCCCATTCTGGGGTTCCGGATGGACGTGAATTTTGGGAGGATGCTATTCAACCTGTTACACTCCATTTTATAGATGATAAAACTGAGGCAGTGGACTTGCCCAGACTCAAGCAACTGGGCAGCAGTACACATGTTCAGAGTGGTCTATAGTGAAGATTCCGGAAGCGTGCTGTAGACAGTAAGTCCCAGGAAGTGGATAAATGATGGAGAGATGCTGAGAGACAGTGAAAATGGCAGAGGCAGATGATGGTTTTGTGTTCTTTCTCCCCCAACTCTTCCATTTTGTTTGCAGATCTTGCCTAAGTCATCATTCCTATGGCCCTATTGGCCAGTAGTTTGAATCTAATTATGTGCTCAGGATTAAGAAATGTGTCTATAGAACGGAGCTGACCAGAAGTTTTCCTGATTCCAGGAGCATGGGAAGCAAAAGCACAGGCATCTGGAACTTTTTTGACTCTGATGTTGTCCAGATCTCCCCTCCACCCTCATGAGCACTTGAGCCCAGCGCGTCTCAAGCCTTGTTGTGCATACCAGTCACCTGGGGTTCTGGTTAAAATGCAGATTCTGACTTCCTAGGTCTGGGGTGGGCCCAAAACTGTGCATTTCTAACCAGCTCCCAGGAAGTGCTATTGCTGCTGGTCCTCAGACCACACTTCCAATAGCAGGGAGAGGGGGTCTCTGGATCTTTTCACTTGGGAGGACTAGCAAGTCATTGAAAGGTAATGTTAATGTCCACCTCAGGGATGCAGAACAGCATAGCCCCCCAAATGATGAAAAGTGATGCTTTCAGGGTTTCCTGCTGCCCAGATCTCTCCTTATATGTCTTGTAAGTCCCTAGACCGAAGAAACCCAGTCAATTCATGATGAGCCGCAGCATTAGCCAGCCCAGTGTGTGAAGGCCCCAGTATGTTGTCCATCTTGCAGCTCTCTGAGAGCCCTGCATCACCCACCCCCACCACCCCAACCCCTGACCCCACCTGTGCACACAGCATCTTCTTAAGCTAAACTTTTTGAATTTATAGGTGCCACAGCTGGATGGGTGACTCAGAGCTTTTTGAGGAGTGAATGCTCTGTTTGGCAAAACTGTATTCACGTACATGACATTTGTTTAGGGAGCAAGGGGTACACGCCAGGGGGATTGTTTGTTTTGCTTTTAAGAAAGGATGAGGGGGCCATTTCTCAAACTTTGGTTCTGGGGCCCGCAAATACAAACATACCGACGAGGCTTGTCACTGCTGCTGGCTTTGTGACCCCAAAGGAAATTTGGGTTAACCACGGAGAGGGGAAGGTGCAATTTAACAATATGGGGGGAGCCTAACAGTGGATCCAAGAAGGGGTGCTCACATGTGAGTTTCCTGAGCAAAACTAGCTTTGGGGGCTTCTGTTTTGTTGACCCGACCTAGAGAGAGAGGCTTTGGAGCTGTTCCACCCCCAGTCCCTCCCCGCTTCCCTCTTCCCAGGATGCCAGCAGTGAAACCCTAGATTCTTGGAATGATTGCCAATGGGAAGCATGCAGTTTTGCTCTCTCAGGCAGGAACCCAACATGCCACTCTGTATCCCTCAGCTGCTGAAAATATGGACTTAATAAATCCCCCAACATGATTTGCTACCCTTCCCAGGAGGGTGTGCATTTTGGGAAAGGCTTCTCGTACAAATAAAACAAATGGATCGCTACGGTAAACCTTACCCCACATCCTATTCAAATCAGACCCCAAGGCCACAGGGATGCCATATTCTGCATTTTCTTGGACAAACCTGTGGTAGATAATGGCCCCCCAAAGACGTCCATGTCATAATCCCCAGAACCTGTGAATATGTTACCTTATATGGCAAAAAAGACTTTGCAAATGTGATTAAGTTAAGAATTTTGAGATGGGCCCAGTGTCATCCCAAGGGTCCTTATAAGAGGGAGGCAGAAGGGTCAGACTCAGCAGTAGGAGATGTGATGACAGATGCAAGAGGCTGGAGTGATGTGAGGAAGGGACCACGAGCCAAAGAAAGCAGACAGCTTCTAGAAGTTGAAAAAGCAAGGAAATGGATTCTCCCCTAGAGCCTCCAGAAGCAGCCAGCTTTGCCAACACCTTGATGTTAGCCCCCAAAAGATCATTTCTGACCTCCAGAACTGTAAAAGGATAAATTTGTGTTGTTTTAAGCCACTGTTTGTAGCAATTTGTTATAGCAGCAATAGGAAACTAATACAGCTGCTCTGTTGTCCCCTTGAACACCCTTGTCAGGCTGTGTGCCCATTTTTCATATGATCAGTGTGGTTATTAGACATAGAAGCATATAGCATAGGAGTAAGGAAGGCAGATTACAACAAAAGTCAGACTCCTAGGGTTCCAATCTCACATTGAGTAACCAACTTATCCTGGTTTGCCCAAGACTTTCCCAGTTTTAGCACCAAAAGCCCCAGGTCCCGGGAACCTCCTCAGTCTTGGGCAAACCAGGGTATTTGGTCACCCTAAATCCCGACTGCATCACTTATTTGGTTGAGCAAGTTACTTAACTGTCTCAGTAACTCAGTTTCCTCATCTGTAAAATGGGGATAATGACAGAGTAGTTGTGAGAACTAATTGGGTTGCTATGTGTAACAGTGCCTAGCCTATAGTAAGTGCTCAGTAAATGGCAGCTTTTATTATTATATAAGACCAGGTGTGGCATGGAAATTCCTGAAGTTGCTTTGTTGGGAAAGAAATAATATTCTTGAAAATCTCAGGCCACACCTGAATCTTCTTAAACATTTGTCTTTCTTTACCTTCTTCTCGTCGCCAGGGAGCCCCTCCCTTCTCCTCTCAGAGCCCATGAAGACTTGCTTTATAGGGGGCAATGTGACGCTCACCTGTCAAGTGTCTGGAGCCTACCCCTCTGCCAAGATCCTGTGGCTGAGGAACCTCACCCAGCCGGAAACAGTCATCCAGCCCAACAGCCACTATCTCATCACCCAGAATGGCCAGAGCTCCACCCTCACCATCCACAACTGCTCCCAGGACCTGGATGAGGGCTACTATGTCTGCCGGGCTGAGAACCCCGTGGGGGTGAGGAAGGTGGACATCTGGCTGAGCGTGAAAGGTGAGTGGTGGAAGTGGCCCCAAAGGAGGAGAGTTGACAGCTTCAGAGGACCTGGCACCAGCATGGGGACAGCGTGGTGCTTCCCTACACATGGGTCACTGCCTTCTGGGAGAAGGCATATCTGCTTGACAAGATGGATGGGAAAAACTATTGTCCAGTCCTAAACCTCTAACATTTGCATAGGGATAAAAATATTATTTAATATCTGTTGTATCCCAAAAGAAAAAATATATATATTAGAAAACACATAAATATAAAATATATATATTCAAATGAAATAAATACATATATAAAAAATATATGTATATATAAAAGGTAAGTTGTGAAGCATAATAGCAAAATGAACACCCAAGAAACTATCATCCCACTTAAGATATAGAATAGTGCCAACATTGCTAAATTACCAGTAGGTAGCGTGGCCAGATTTAGAAAACAACAAGAAAACTAAAAAAACAGGATGCCCACTTAAATTTGCATTTCAGAAAAACAAAGAAGAATTTTTATAGTGTAAGTATGTCCCAAATATCACATGGGGCATACCTATTCTAAAAAACTATTCGTTGTGTATCCAAAATCCAGATTTAAGTGGGCATCCTGTATTTTATCTGGCAACCCTACCTGTAGGCCTCTTTTCACTCTCATCCTAGGCCTCCTGAAAAAGGTAACTGCTATCCTGAATTTCATGTTTTATTTAAGAAAAATTTTACTCCATGTGTAGGCATTTCTAAATAATATATTGTTTATTTTTGGTTTTCAGTTTTAAAAAATGGTTGTTATCATACAAATGTAGTCTTTTGTGACTTGCTCTTTTTTCACTCCATATTTTGTTTCTCGGATTTATTCATGCTGATGTGTGTAATTATACTTCGTACCTCTTCAATGCTTTATAATTTTCCATTGTGTCACTATTCCACAACTAAGTTACTAGTTTTCCTGCTGATGGACATTTATGTTGTTTTTGATTTTTTTGTTGTGATGAACAAACAGTGTTGCTGTGAAATTCTTTTAGCCAGCTCCTTGTGTACATATACACCAGGTCCCCAGGCAAATATTTCTCTAGGATATGTACAAGGAGTAAAAATGAAGAGTTATAATTATGTTATGTGCATTTTTATCTTTAGGAGATGACACCAAATTATTTTCCAAAGTGGTCGTACCAATTTCCATTTGTAACAGCAGTACATAAGAGTGTCGAGTTGTTCCACATTTTCACCCATAGGCTTTGTGATTTCGCCTATCAAGTAGGTGTAAAATGGAATCTCACTGGGGTTCTGATTTGAATTTCTCTGATTACTAAAAAGGCTAAATATTATTTCATATGTTTATTTGCTATTTATGTTTCTTCTGTGAAATACATAATTGTGTCTTTTGACAATTTCCCCTTTCTTATCGATATGTAGGAGTTCATTAGAAATTTCATGTACAAATTCCTTATTAGTTTGACATGTTACAAATATCTCCGTTCAGTTTGTTGTCTTTTTTCTCTTTCTTTATGGTATCCTTTGATTAGCAGACGTTCTTACTTTAATGTAGCTCATTTTATGACTCTTTTCTTAGATCATTAGCAATTTTTGTGACTTAAGAAGTCCTTATTTAGCCCAGTCATGAAGATATTCTCCTATATTTTCTTCTAAAAGTTTTAACATTTGCCTTTCACAGTTAAATCTTTAATCATCTAGAATTGACTTTTGTGAATAGTGTGAGGTAGAGATCAAGTTTCTCCCCCAAATTTCAATAACCATTTGTTCCAGCACCATTTCTTGAATCATTCCTCTTTTATTTACTAATCTGTCATATATCAAGTTTCCTTTTATGTGTAGGCCTGTTCTTGGATTCTCTATTCTGTTCCATTGATCACTGTTTATCGCAGCACCAGTAACTCATGCTCTTAATTTCTGTGGCCTTCTAAACGGTCCTGATGTCTAGTGGACACATAGAGATTTTAACTTTCCAATGTTCTTTTGCATCGCATGCTTCATTTGAGTCCCACAAACTGCCTGACGGCAGGAGATAAGATATCTTGCTTTACAGAGACTTCATATGCTTTGCCCAAGGTCATGAAACCAAAATGAAGACTAGGACCCAGGCAGAAGAGGGGAGGTGTTGCTCTCCTAGCTGCATGTGTATCAGGTCGAAGAGTCAAAGCTGTGATTTATCTTTGCAGAACCTTTAAATATTGGTGGAATTGTGGGCACCATTGTGAGTCTCCTTCTGCTGGGACTGGCCATTATCTCAGGGCTTATGCTGTACTACAGCCCTGTGTTCTGCTGGAAAGGTAAGGACTTCTTGGGTCCCTCTGCTTATCTTTCAGGCTTCTTGAAAGGGGGTGGGTGGAGGAAGGAGGCCCTGTTATGTTCCCACCTGAAGTCCCAGTCTATAGGCTTCTTTGGGTCCAGATGTGCAGTAATGAAGCACCTAAGTACTATTCCTGAACACCCTGCCGCCTCTCATGTTGGGGCAGTTTTGTCATTGTCCATTCTTTTGTAAATGTTACATTGATTAAAAACTTTTGTGAGGCTGAAGTAGATGTTATTGGATATTAATTTTTTCTCCTTTCTCCCTTCAGTAGGAAACACTTTCAGGTGAGTGTTCCGTAGATTCAAATCAAAAACCCATTTTCCATGATCTTTCTTCATTGCTGTTTTGTGTCCTTTCATAATAACAATAATAGCAACTATCATTGAGGACCCACCATGTGCCACACACTGGGCTAGGGGCTTCATTAGGCATTATTAGAAACCCTTTCATAAACTCTTCAGGGGGGAGGTGGCATCTCCATTTTCCAGACAAGGAGCTGGAGGCTCGGTGAAGTAATTTTTGCAAGCTCATCCAGGAAGTAAACAGCAGTGCTTGCATTCAGACCCAGGTCTGACTGATTCCAAAGTCTGTGCTCTTTTTATAGTGCCAGACCAGAGGACAAGGCACGTTGCTGGTCCCTCACTGAGGCATGAAGACAGGGTGTACATATTGAGCCCAGTCATTCATGCATTTATTTTATCCAATTTTCTAAAAAGAGCTAAAAGGAAGAATAAGTCATAGTCTTACAAGATGTTTTGGAAGACTAGTCTGAACATGCCCAGAAGCCCCTCCCAAAGAAACCTCAGTAGGGGCAAAGTAACTAAATGGAACTTGTGTATTTCAATTCCTAAGGAGATTCTGAGTGAGAGCAAAGAAATCTTCTCTTTGTTCCTCTTTACCCATTCATAATAATGGGATCCCATTGTTCTGGAGCCATCATTCACAATGAGGGCATATTATTGTTCTGGGACCATCTGTTATGGGGAAGATGTACCTTTATTGCCCTGTATTTGAGGGCCATTGTCCCAGTCAGTCTGTCATTCCCCAGGCTTATTTCTCACAGGAGGTAGTCGCATGGCATAGTAGGAAAAGGCTTTGGAATTAGTGGACCTGGGTTCAAATTGCAGCTCTGCCATTCCCAAGCCCCGATGTCATGGAAAATCCCTGACCTTCTCTGAGCCTTTTTCTCCTTATCTGTCTCCCACAGGGAGACCATGATGATTAAATGAGAATGTAATGCTCCTAGGCCTGTGACTGGCCCATGCCATGCGTTCTTTCTTCCTTAAGAAATGTACAGTCTGGGTAGGCAAAACCAGCAGTAAGCTAGAGAATAATTAAATGCTAAACCTCTGGGCATGGACTCCAAATGCAGTTGTAGTTCAGGGCTTCAGGGAGAGGGAGAGGACTTTACCTGGGCCTTGAATAATGAGGAGGAGAAATTTCAGTAAGTGGAGCAGAAGTAAGGTAAGGGCATTTCAGGAAAGGAACAGAGCACTTGTGCACATGCTGTGAGAGGAGCTGAAATGGTAGGTGCCTGGGACAAGGAGGTCACCTGCCTGAAGAGCAGGGGAGGAATAATAAAACTCACCCAGGAAGAGAGATGATTATCCATAGCCATCTGTGGTAGCATCTTTTTGAGAGCTTACAATCACACGGTCATCTCGTGACTTAACCTATTTGAATGCATGAAGAATTTTCCATGTTACCAAAGGGGTTTTCAAGAATCTAGTGTTTGCTATTCAACAAGGGCTGACATTGGAAAAAATGATATTTTCTTGATTATTTCTCCCCCTTTGGAAACTAGGGGGCAAGACATGGATGATGTCATGGTTTTGGTGGATTCAGAAGAGGAAGACGTGGAGGAGGAGGAAGATGCTGCAGAAGTGGAGGAGGAGGAAGCAAATGAGAGGGAGGAGGTGCCAAAAGAAATACACAAGCACGGCCACATTCATAGAGTGACCGCATTGGTGAATGGGAACGTAGACCAGATGAGCAATGGACTCCAGGCTCTGCAAGGTAAGCTCTTTTTCCTTAAAAGCACTCGGCTGGGTTGTGGTGAGCTTCCCAGTAGGAAATCTCTAGGGGTGAGTTTGGTTTTTTAAAGGCTGGGGAAGATAGTTAAAGTTTAATCTGGAACCTGAGAATCTACTATCAACTGCCAACATGACAGTTAAATTGACAAACATTTATCAAGGGCCTGCTCCGGGAAAGGGTCAAGATCAACATTGCTAGGGAATAAAAAAGAAAGACCGATAATATCTGCATGCAGGGAGCTTTATGAGACCAGTTAGGGTGAACAGACCAATACACGGGGGGAAAATTAAAGTGGAAGCAAGATTTAACCAACACTTTGAGAGAGCAGCAGAGGAACTGTCACAAGGAGGAATTTGATTAATTGCCTGATGAATGATATGTTTAAAAATTACAGGACTTCAGAGAAAGAGGAGAGCCTTGAGGGATGCATTGGTCGGGAGAAGTTTTATGGGAGAAGTAGGATATGAGGCAAGTCTTTCAGGAGAGTTGAGTTTGAATAAGCAGGAAGGAGAGAGGGCGTTCTAGGTGAGGGGAACGGCATGAGCCAAGAGTATGAAGGGTGGGCAGCATCAAGCACGGCTAGAGGATTTTGAGTGAAAACAACAGGTGAAAGGGGAAGCTACCTGCTCCTCCGTGAAATCCAATTCCGAGGCGCACCACTAAAGGACTAGAAATCGAGATGTTGGAAGGCTGATGGTGGAAACGGAGTCATCCCGTTGAGATCACTCAGAGTCCGATCTCCTTTTCCCTCTGTACAGACGACAGCAGTGAGCAGCAGAGTGACATCGTTCAAGAAGATGACAGGCCAGTTTGAAGAAGAGAACTGTCCTTCATTATCCTGTCTTAAAAGCTTGGAAAGCTACACTGAAGATGAGCTTTGCATTCTGCTTTGACTTGACCTGCACCCCTGCCTGAGGGCTAGAAAAGGTTTGGGGTTCTTAGCAAAAAGGAAAAACACACACACATCTTTCCTTCCATTTTTTTCCTAAATTGGTTTGACTTGCTGTAAGTTTTCTCAGTGATGTTAAAAAGCATTGGGAACAGGCAGTGTGTGGGGGACAGCTGCATATGGCATCTGAGATGCCCCTTTCCCTGTGACTCCTGGCTTTATCCAGGTTGACTGATGCTGATTTGGGGGGACAGGAGTGGGGGGGAGGCACTTGGCCTCAGCGCACTCTGCCACTATTAAAGGTCTGTAACCAGCTAGCCCCAGCACACAAGGGAATAGCGCGGGGTGGTAAGGACACTTCCTTTATCACTGCCCAGGTGAGCTGAGGAACCAGACAAACGTCAGCTTCCTGGAAAAGGTGAGGAGGTGTCAGCTACCAATGTTAATTCAAGCCCGAGTTGGAAACACCCGGGTTTGAATCTGGGCCCTGCTACTTACTTGTATTATGGACTTGGGCATGGTAATTTACCTCTTCATTGGGCCTCAATTTCCTCATCCATAAAATAGGTGAAATCACACCTATCTTACAGGGTTATGGTGAGGACTAAATGAGGTACTTTTGGACGTGGAAGTGCCTGGGAGGTGCTCAGCAGATGTTATCTTCTCCTTTGCCTTCCCTAGTGGAAGAAAAAATGTCAACTCTAAGTTATAAGCTGTTGCCTGGGCCTTTCACTCTTTTTTCGTTCTTTGTAGAATGGTTTCCGATGAGGGCATTATTGGAGCTCTCCTGATGGTTTCTGCTTCCCTGGAGATACAATTCTTTTCAAAAGAGGTAGGGGCCCATACGAGGAAGTGCCTTTCATTAGCACCTCACATCCTGCAGAGCTTCATATTTTCACAGAAGCCTCTTCAGTGATGCACAATTAGCTTTCAGACTTTCCCATTCTTTCTTTTTCCTGTGGCTCTGAAAAAAGGCAGGAGGAATGTTTTTTAATGGAGTATCTGGTGATAAAGTACTCCTTGGGCAGACCAGTTCATCTGGCCTCCATTTCTCAACCACAAAAATGGAGAACTTGTTTCCTTCCTACTTCTTAAGGGTGTTATGAGGATACACTGATCCATAATACTAAGTTTTCAATGAAAATAACGTGTGGTGAGTTTAAGCTGCTGATGTTTCCAGTAGATCCCTGTACAGTTAGAGATTTTTTTTCCTGATATCATCCAAATCTCTTAAATGTCAGGGACCTTAGCAAAGGATATGTGCTAAACATGAAAATCTGACTCGAATTTGCACTCTTTAAAGTTGCATACCCTGCTCTGATGGGCAAAACCTAGCGCTTCAAAGAGAACTTCCCTTCTTCAACCATAGTGACTGGGACTCCTAAGATGAGAAGCTGGTTATCTGCAGGGTTACCCTGCAGGTGTGGCTGGGAGAGGTCCATTTTCTTGGATGAAGGGACTAAACTAAGCAAATCACTAGCAGTGAGCCCTGTCCCCAGCTCAGAACACTAGGGAGCTGGCTGCAATTTCCACCCCTCAGGAATAGCTGTGAACTGCAGTTCTCGTGGGCTGGGTCTTTGCTGCATAGTACCTCATGAACTTAACCACTCCAACCAGTCTAAGTATCATTTCAGAAAGGGATGCTAAAGATAGGTTGCTTATAAAGTCACTGAACACGGAGCTAGTCTCTCCTTTACAGTCTTCGATGATTATGTTCCTGAATCTGAGAGTCCATTATGCAGAGGCAACCATATTTAAAAAAAGAAGAAACTGTAGGAAAAAAATCCCTAGCTGGGAACAGAGAGAATGATGTGCAAGGTCACTGAGATGCTTTCTGCAACTTCCTCTTCTCTTGCGCACACACATGATAAGAAATCTTCGAGGTGGGGTTTTTTTCCACTAACAAATGGGAGCGTCAGGGTCTTGGTGCCAAACACCATAAACCCTTGACCAGCTGAGCTGTGACTGCTGTCACTCAGATCTGAGCCCTGTGTACACATTAATATAGCTGGGTCAGTTAAGAGCCCACGGACTGGGGGTCTTCAAGTTTTAAGGATTTTTGAAGAATTAGGGCTTTTTTTCTTTTAAGATAACCCATCCCCAAATCCACAAGCCTGTTGACAGTACGTTACAGACCTTGTGTAGCAAAGTCCAAGTTATTACATTGTGCTTTTGAAAAATCTTATCTGAATGTATTGTGAACTCAGAGACCAGGAGATCTCCTTATCAGAACCAGGAAGATAAATACTTCAGGGCTACCACAATTGCTTTTCTTCGAAACTTGGTGGACACTGGGCAAGGGGCTCCCATAATCCTGTGGCTTTGATATTTGCTCCAATTCCCACAAGCACATACAGGCCCTGTTATTGCAGCAAGAAAATGCTTGATGGAAAATTTCCATAAGCCATGCACTGAAACCTGGAAAATCATCCTTGCTGGGTAAAATTTATTAAGATGCAGTAAGTGCCAACTGGTATTTCTCACTATGGGACTGGCCAAGAACTGCTGCAAAGAAAAATTAGCAGGTCCCTCTGCAATACTTACATTTTAAAATTTGATGGGGGCGGGGGTCGTTTGGGTGAAATTCGGTCTGAGGTTATAATATGGATTTTTTTAAAACGATTATGGAATAAAGTTATTTTTAAATAAATGCTGTAGTGATCTTGATTTAGACTTGATTAATAAACCGAAAGATTTGGGGAAATGGGATTGCCTTCTCCAATTTTTTTACTAGCTTTCCCAATATTGCTAACAATAGCGTCCTCGTTGCTATTTTATTCTTTTCCGTGACTTGTAGATATTACCTACCCTGTTATACCTACTGAGACACCTTCACTTTTCCTAATCTCCCTGAGAAAACTGTTCTTCCATTTTTTTCTACCTGCATATCCTCCAACACGTGCCTCTTTTCGGTCCGACTTCATGCTTTCTGACATTAAAGGGCTAGGATAGGAGTCATGGTGGAAAACATAAAACTGATGGACCATCTGAAAAGACAATTTACAGCAGCTGTCGTGTCCCCGTAGTTGTTGATGGCTTTGGATTTTCACTGGTCTCAGCTAATTCTAGCCCCCAGGACACCTCACCTCCCACCTGAGGTTGCCCAATGCCATTACCTCTTCCTGTTCTAGGCCCTTCTACCTCTTAGGTCATTCCGTTCTCCCCCTTTCTTCACTCCAAGCTCCCTAAGCTCTCTATCTCAACCGTCCCATTTTAATCCCATGGGTAGAAAACCCAAACTCATGTTCTCTACCTTAGCGTGTTTCCCATGTTCTTTTTAACCCAGTCCCTCTACTTTAATGTGTGTTTAGTCCTGGGCTCTGTTTTCTGAGCCCCCATTTTACCTCTGCCTGATTCACTTCTGTTCCCTGCTGTGGCTGAGCGCCTGTTTCCTGCCCCCTTTCTCCTCAGCCCTCAGAGGTCACACCCCGGTTACCCAGCTTGTCCATTTCTGGACCCCCACTTTTTGGATCCCCCTTTTTCTCTGGCTGGCCGCCCCTTTCTCACCAGCCATTTTAACTTTGCCATGCTCCTTTTTCACTTTCCATTTTCCACTGGGCTTTTCTTTTTCTGGTTCCCATTTTCAAAAAGTGGCCCTGCTTACCCCTTCCTCTGACCCTCCAACTTGATCCCCAGCCCCTGTGTGGGCCTCCTCTCCCTCAGCTCCCAATTAACCTCCGAGCTCCCCCTCCTCAGGTCCCCAATTTTATTCTCCAGCCTCCTTACTCCCTTACCCGCTTTTCACCTGGATCTGTGTTCCCGAACATCCTCCCTTCTCTCCTCAGTTTCAGCTTTTTGTCTCCCAAACTCCCCCGCTTCCCTGGTGACTTCAGGTCCTCATTTTTATGCGACTGTCTCCTTACGCGCTCCCCCCTGTTCTTACCTGGTTCCCACCCCCCTAGGGTTTCACCCTGCCCATCGCCCCCGGTTTTCTCCTGAACTCCCCGCTTCCCTCCCACTACTGGTGTCGTTCCCTTCCCCACCTCCCTCGTTTTTCCTCAGCATCGCCGCACACCCCCTTTTTTACCCATTACCCTCCCCTCCTTATTACCTGGCAGGTGTTGCCTCCCCTCCCCGATTCCCTCTTAGCTCCGTGCCTCCCCCCGCCCCGGTTTTCCCCTAAGCCCTGCTCCCCCCCGATTTTCCACGGCTGGCGTTCTCTCTGCCCCCCGTTTCCGCCACCCCCGTTTTTACCCATTTCCCCCTCAGGCTCCGCATCTTCCCTAATTACCTGGCCGCCCTGCCTTCCCCCCGAGCCCCGCGCCCCATCCCCCGATTTTTATCCTGCCCGCCCCCCCCCCGTTTTATCTCAGCCCAGCTCCCCCGCCCCGGTTTTATGCTGCCCGCCTTCACCGGCCCCCTCCCCAGT